TCCTATAAGGTATGGACGGCATTTTTGTTCTTTATCAGTTATATATTATAGATAGAATAGGTCGAATCTGTACTGAAACTGAATCAGAAGGCCCCGACTCCACGTAGTCGTGTCTGCCCTACCCCTAGTGTTTTTGTAAACCCGTAGGCGCGGAGGGAGAGCAGCCCCCGCCCGCTGTGGCAAATCGCAAAGCACCTAATTTTTAAACTTGGCACCTAATTAGCACCTAAAATGCCCCTAATTTTGGGTTTTTCTAAATGAAATTTCCTGACTTTGCGTTGCTGGCGATACACAACTAAGAAAATTGACGTTTTTCTTAGAAAACGTGAACCGATAATAAATTTTTAATGCCTTAACCAAACAATAAAGACACAGATGTCTAAAAGTAGACGTATTGTTTCGAAGGGGACACTGTTACGTCATAAAGAGTGTTTACTTGTATGGGTATGTAAGCCAACCAATATCTTGCAATATTTATTCGTTATAAAGAGTTTACTGTTTATAATAATTGAAAACTTTTGTTATTACATTATATTTAACAATTCGTTAATAAGTGCTATTATTATTGATGTATTTATACAGTATTCTCATCTGGTTGCGAAATAAAATGATAAATATACATTGAATATAGTGAAATAAATAATACATAAATAAATGAAAACACAAGCAGATGGGAGCGTTCGGCAGAGGAGACCAAACAACCAAGGGTTAGGGGGAAAAAGAAAGAAATCGGTGGACAATGCGGGCGGAATCAAGGAGCACCGCTTTATGCATTTGAGCCCGGAGCGGGCTATCATGGAGTCCCAACCGCCTCAGATGACCTGAGAGGCTGACCGGGATTAGCACGTTCGCAGAGACGACTACGGGAATAATTTCGATCGTCAGACCACCCCACATGTCGGTTACCTCGTGCGCCAGTTTCAGATACTTTGTTCGCTTATTTGTTTCGGCTCTCACGAAGTTCTCGTCATACGGAATGGTATGTCGACTAAAGATATCCCCAACTTTGTCCGATCCATTAGCGTAATATCAGGCTTATTCACAAGAATAGTTCTGTTTGTGATGATACCCCGGTCACAGTAGAGCCTGGCGCGGTCTTTTCGAGCACGGCTTCCCGCAAGTAAGTAGTAAAATAAGGCAGTTTCCTAACCACAAGACCGATTTCACAGCGAGCTCCTGGTGTAGTATTCTGGCTACTAGCTTGTGTCTGTGCAAGTACTAGAGTTCGAAAGCGCCGAACAACCGGAAATAACATGCCTAAGTGATTCATCGGGATGGCGACAAACTCGACAAATGTCGACGGTGCCATCCCTTAGAATGTATCTCTGATAGTCGTTGGTTTTTATGACCTGATCTTATATTGCACAAACAAAGTTAGTGGAAAAAATTATAACAAGACTATCAGGTTTCTTTGGAACGGGTTTGACGCTACCCTCTCATAATCAGTCACTGCCTTTTTCTCGGGCAGTACATTAAAGAGTGGTCATTGGTTGGTCTTTTGGACACTGGACACAACCTAGCCAACGACCATTCCTTTAAATTCTTACATACGTGTAATAAAGGGCTGCGACTGTGTGTGCTGGAACAGTTAGAGATATTAAAAAGTAATAATAGTAACGTTTCACTGCTGAATGAACAAACAAATGTTTCTAACTCACCTCTCTTAAATATCTTTAAGCCTGCTCTCTAATAACAGACAGCTTCGCAACATGGTCGTTTGTCACCCTCACGGTGATCCGCGATTGGTTGCGAGGTTGGAGGGTAGGCGGGCGTTGCGTGCCGTTTTTTTTTAATTTTACAAACGGCTGCGTAAGTCCGGCGGTGATTGGTCGCATGCTTTATCGCATGACGCAGTCGCTCGCTCCTTAAGTAGGGAGCGGTTGCGTCAGCGGTCTGTATAAATAGCAGTTGTTTTGGCTTGCCGCTCACACTCGCCAAACATGCTTTTGGCCGACCTGAACTGCCTCCTGGCGGCTCAGGCCAACTCTTAATTTGCCTTAGTTAGGCTCCCCCTCAGCGGCTCGTCACCTCCTGCGCCCCCTTTTTCCTAAATAGGGTCGCTTCCGATTCGGCAGAAAGGCCTCATAAGCCAATGCCAGTCTCACAGGTGGTATTTAGTGGGTAGACACTTAGGTTAGGTTAGTCGCAGTGAGTCCCACATAACCACGACAGCCGGCTGTCGTGGTATGCTTAGAGCATTCACCACCTCCCTTCCTTTCCGGAGGGTAGCCCTTGAATTGTTTCTGGGCGTAAAAAAAAATTTCCGCTCACTTAGCGGTCAGCCACCGCAAAGTCTACATCACCTGAAGATTCCTCGTGTGTAGGCGAAACACGTGTCGTATCGTCGTCAGTGGTGTGTCTTTCCTAGTGTAGTGGTGTTGGGAGTAGTGGTGCTGGGATTTGTGGTGACGGGTATAGCGCACGCAATTGAGAGAGGGCGGGAGGTGCTCTTCAAACTAGGTAAGACACATTTTATTTTATCGAGCGGATGTACGCGAAGTAATTTTATACCAACTTTAAGCTCCCGAAATAATTTATTTGCGTGCGCTGGTGGTATGGTCAGTGTTACGTAAATACAATTTTCTAGAAAAACATAGATAAATAGATCTTTACTCCATGTAAAAAAAAGTCTGCGATACCATATGCTTTTTTCTTATACATAAGCCACAAACACAAATCACAGGTATTTTGTGACAAACAAATATTGAAAAGTAAGTGATTTATGAGCGTTATTATTTGGCTTTGAATATTAATCCTTATGAACGAAAGTTCATCATCAAGACAATTTTATGAAGATAAAATAAGATAAGAGCAGTTTTACGCGTTAGTAGCGCTGTACAGTAGCTGTACAAGCATAAAAGAAGCTGTATAACTGCTGCATTGCAGCTGTTATTTGGTGTGCAAGGAAATTACATACACTACAGATATTGTCTTTTAAGTACCTAACTTTTAAAGACAAACGTTCTAAATTGGTTTTTTAACGGGATTACAAATGTATATAAAACAAAAAGAACGTTTATTAATACCTATTATATTATATTATAATGATGGCGAGATTTAATAGCTTAACATATATTTATCATATTAATATTATATGTATATTCGGATTGGATTTGAGTTTTGACGCTGATAATTGGTGAAAAAAGCTTTTTAACATATAAATCAATGTTTATAGCATGTTATTTGGACGCATAGTTTGATATAATGTAAAATGAAAATAATTCAACACTTGTCGCGTGAACATGAGCGAGGTTTGTTCAATCATTACAGCTAAAAAATTGTATGGAAAAATTGCCTACACAACAATTTACCTACACATTTTTCATGTATCGTGTACGATTTTCTTCAAAACTGAAAAAAACCGAGCTTCGGGACACTTTCTGGTGCGCGGGGTTAACGCTCACCCGGGAGCAGAAGAGAAAGTGGACAAAATTTAAATTCGCTCTTCAACTTACCTACCTACATATATGCCGATAGATAAAATTACTCCATTAATTTTGAAAAATTTCCATACATTGCTATCTAAAATGCATGAACTAGGTGTCATGTCATGTCATGTCGCGCCTCAGACACGCGTGGAATCGCGGGGCACAGTATATCATCTTGAAAACCACACTCTTCTTAAACATACTCCATAATAACCGCATTTTTACAGCATTTATACCACTATCGTGCTTCTTCTGCCACACCCAACTTTTACTACCATAAGTTATAATAGAGACAAATACAGCATTGTGAATTGCCAAACGGGCCTTTTTTGACACATTCTGACTTTTCACAACAGAGTTTAGTCTTATTTACTCTATTTCCTGCGTTCACTCGTCGTTCTATTTCCTTATATCTACCATCCCATAAATACACATCCCAAATACACAAACTCATCCACTTGCTCAATCAACTCTCCCTCTATTCTTATTTCACATTTCGCTATACTTTCTTCTCTTTCAAAAGCCATCACTTTCGTCTTATTTGCGTTCACTTTCATTCCCCTTTCTTTCAATGACCTGTTCATTAATGTAACCATCATTTGCAACTCGGCCCCGGCGACGCAAACATGACTTGATCATCGCCGTATAAATGGCATCTGATGTTTAACTCACCCATTCTTAACCCACATTCTTCAACTTTCAGTTTCCAAGCAACTGTAACAACAACATTAATAGGTTGAACAGCCACGGGGAAGCAACACAGCCGTCTGAAACCTTTATGGATGCCAAACCAGTCCGAGTAAAGAGACCTTAATGCCTGTATCAACTCTGCACTCAACCCAAATGGGTCATTGTTGGCCATAACACATCCCCGTCCACTCGGGTAATTCCTTTATCACACGAAATTACGCCCGTGCAGAATGGATAATCCGATCTCGCCAGCAAGTAATTACGGAAGCTGCACTCGTCGCGGTGGTGCAAGATGAGAGCGGTTATATAGCCGCGTCCACCATGTTTCCGCGGCAAGTACTTGCTTACCAACTCATGTAGCGCCAATATTTCATTCCTCATAGATCAATTTGTGTTTAGTATTATGTAGCTTCAGTCTTCTCATAATAAGCGCAACAGTTTGATAAGATTTTGCGTCTGCTGTTTGTATGTTATTTGCTATTAAATTATTTGTTTATCAGATCATTCCCAAATCATAATTATAGAGCACATTATGTATTGTGTTTAAAAGACAACAAAAAAACCTGAATTTTGTAGCCTGTAAAATAATATTTCTTTCATGGCAAGATAAGAAAATGTACGAGGGAAATGGATATTATTACATCTCACTCGCACTATAGAATGGGGGTAGCGACGGAAAAATATCCCTATCCGTCAAATTCGTACCGTGCGATAAGGAACTTCGTTTATAAATACAATTTCTAGCTGAAAAGCCAGATCTGTGTTCAGATAAATAAAGAGGCAAGGACAGTTTAAAAAAAAAAACAAAATACTCTTTAATTAAATAACTTTACTTAGAACATAAATCTCTACATAATAACTGCTTTATGTGCATACAGTTGTTCATTCCTTGTCACGGTAGTTCTTGAGGTTGACCAGTACCCAAGCGGGGATTGCACACCAGCCGACAACCATTGTAGACGCCAAGAAGATCATCTCCTGAAATTTCAAAATATATAAATAAATCACTCGACGAAAGTTTGTTGACTGAATTGGGAACAGTGGAGTAGCTATGTAACCAAGGGCACCGGGGCAAAAATGAGATTGGGACCCTATTTAAGCTAAACTAAATACTTTAAAGGTGTAAATCTACTTCATCTTCAGTTCCTTATCGTCCACTGCACTATATACCTAGTCAGGTCATAAGTATTGTCACACATTAAAAACTTTTCTTTTAGAATGCTGGCCACAAAAAAGTTTATTGAATTCGAATTTCGAATTGTTCATGAAAATAAAACTCTATACTTTTTAGAATTTTACTCATTTTTAAATATGGAGTGGACGCTTAAAGAAGACCGTGTTGCAGTTATTGCGTTGCATCGTTGCGGTTACGCGCCAATTCAAATTTTTGACATACTGAAAAATTTGAATATAACCAAGATTCGTTTATCGTACCATCAAACAATACAATTAAGACACTAGTGTAGATGACAGATTAAGAAGTGGTCGCCCTCGGTCTGTTAGGACTCCAGCAGTGATAAAAGCTGTGAAGGCGCGAATTCAAAGAAATCCCAAACGTAAGCAGAAACTGTTGGCCCTTCAGATGGGGTTAAGCAGAACCACGGTGAAAAGGGTGTTAAATGAAGACTTAGGGCTTCGGGCATATCAAAGAAAAACAGGGCATCGTTTGAATACTCGTCTAATTGATCTGAGACTGAAGAGATGCCGCGCTTTGTTGAAGCGGTACGCCGGAAAAAAATATCGGGAAATTCTGTTTTTGGATGAAAAATTTTTTACCGTAGAAGAGAGCTACAACAAACAAAATGATAAGGTGTACGCACACAGTACTGAAGAAGCGAGCAACCGTATTCCGCGTGTCCAACGAGGTCATTTTCCATCCTCGCTTATGGTATGGTTTGGAGTTTCTTATTGGAGCTTTACAGAGGTACATTTTTGTGAGAAAGGTGTAAAAACGAATGCAGTTGTGTATCAAAATACAGTCCTGACGAACCTTTTGGAACCTGTTTCTCATAGCATGTTCAATAATAGGCACTGGGTATTCCAACAAGATTCGGCGCCAGCTCATAGAGCGAAGAGCACACAAGACTGGCTGGCGGTGCGTGAAATCGACTTTATCCGGCACGAAGACTGGCCCTCCTCCAGTCCAGATTTGAATCCGTTAGATTACAAGATATGGCAACACATGGAGGAAAAGGCGTGCTCAAAGCCTCATCCCAATTTGGAGTCACTCAAGACATCCTTGATTAAGGCAGCCGCCGATATTGTCATGGACCTCGTTCGTGCTGCGATAGACGACTGGCCGCGCAGATTGAAGGCCTGTATTCAAAACCACGGAGGTCATTTTGAATAAACTTTGGTGTCATAAGAATCTATGTTTTGTTAAGTTAATTTTGGTATATAAATGGTTACATAATGAATAAACTTGTTTCAATTATTTTATATTAAACATGTGACAGAATTTATGACCTGACTAGGTATAACGCAGCAGATAATATTTAATTGTTCTTCCTAATAATGTTATAAATTTGAAAGTTTGTTTGTTACACTTTCACTAAAGCTACTGGATGGATTTGGATGAAATTTTGCACACGTAAGACATAAGATAGCTTTATCCCGAGAAAAGGATCCCGTGGGATAATTTTCAATGTTTGTCCGTACCAGGCCAACGAAATCGCGAGAGGAAGCTAGTAAAATAAAGGGCCCTTTGAGCTTGGGGGCGCAGGGGCACTGCTCCGCCTAGACCTACGGTAGCTACACCACTGGTTGGGAATATATTGGAGTTGGGCCAAGTTAAGAGCACCCTTAACGCATATACACTAGAAACTAAAAAACTTATAATTAAATCACAACTTTTCAATGATGATGACAATGTGTGACCATCTGTGTAACAAATAAGTTCACCTCAGTCCCAACTAGCGACATCTGGTGAGCATAATATCATAAGCACTCATTATTGTCATTTTTAATCAGCAGTAAAGGCTATTCACATTATGTGTCGATTTCTAATAAATATATCCATAATATGTCTTCTATGTATCTAGATTTGGTGATTAATGTGCTGTGTAATGGCGGCATAAGAATATCCACTACCTCATATCATCCCTTGATTGTCGGAAAAGGCTAAAGAGGGAAATAATGATTAAAAATAAAAAAACTGCAATTGCCAACCTGCTTGCCAAGCATGGCAACTATTACAAGTATCCCCCTACAAGGCAATCTATGGGGGAGGCCTATGTTCAGCAGTGGACTTTAATAAGCTACAAGAGTAATGGTAATAAAAAACTGCAGCTGCCAACCTGCATATTAGGCACTAAGCCTATGATCAGCGGTGGACTTATAGCAGAGGATAAAGCTGTAATGCACGAATAAATATATAATTATTATAAACTAACTGGTCCCTGCGACTTCCCCCATGTAATTTAGGGTTTTTATTATGTTGCACGGAACCCTAATTCTTTTTCTAAAACAAAAGTATCCTAAGTTACTCCTTATAAAATCAGCTATCTCCCAGTGAAAGTCCCGTCGAAATTGGTCCAGCTGTTTCGGATATTAGCCGGAACAAACAAACAGACAGACAAAAATTTTAAAAATTGTGTTTTTGTTATCACTATCCTATATACTTTTATGTGCATTTAGTAAAAAGCTGTTATTTTAACATTACAAACATACTTCAATTTTATTTATTTGTATAGATTAAATTTTGCGCCCCACTAGTCTCTGCACTGAACCTCGATGATGTAGCAGTACAACTGGAATTAAAACAGTCTATACAAATAAATAAAATTGAAGTGTCTGTTTGTAATGTTAACAGAACAGCTTTTTACTAAATGCATATGAAAGTGTATATGGTACTAATAACAAAAAATAATTTTTCAAATTTTTGCCTGTTTGTTTGTTCCGGCTAATCTCCGAAACAGCTAGAACGATTTTGATGGGACTTTCATTGGCAGATAGCTGATTTTATAAGGAGTAACTTAAGATACTTTTATTTAAGAAAAAGAATTAAGGTTCTACACAAAAAAATTAAAATTGTAGTAAATTCCACACAGGCAAAGTCACAAGGGACAGCTAGTATTAAATAAATATTTAAATCACATTTTTTGTTATGTAATTGTTTTTTTAACCTTGTTTTATAAGAACGGAACTTAAAAATTACAATATTTTCGTATTTGGATATCCACATTTTAAAATATGTCAAGGTATTACTTGAAACCCTTAGATCAAAACCACCATGAGACAGAAAGACACCAAGGTGATTTCTTAATTTGTTCTAATTGTTTGGAAAAGATTTTATAATAAAAACAATTGTTATATGTTATAAAATAGCTAACCATCCTTAAACAAAAATAATTGAAATTATAATTGGAAAAAGATTTTTTTATTTTGCCAAAAGTAAAATATAATTGAAATTAAAACTTGGAACATCTGGAAAAGAAGTTTTTCATACAATTCTATTTCTACCCCAGGTTCCAATAGTTTATATTTTATCACCTGAAGGCAACTGCGCTTTCAAAAGATAACCTATCTTTTCCTACAAAATTACGTAATTACGAAATTCAGTTATTGTCTTTACAAACATGGTTTTATGATCTATTCGACCTATATCTTCCTAAAACTGTAAAAATTTGTTTGTAAAGTACGTATTACGTTAATTTTTTAGAAAAAAAACAGTAATCAATACTTACGCCTTTGGTAACTCTACTTCTGGCAGGAACAGCGGTTGCGCTCATTTTCCTTTGCTGAGCAACATTCTTGTAGATTTGGGTGTTATTCCTAATAAGAGTCCTAATCGCCAGCATTTTTTATTGCTTAAGATTTTAGTGTTAAAACCGAACGTCTAAAATTTCTCAACTGGAAATTGAAATTGTCAATCAATCGACCATAGATAAATATATATGTAGCAAGCTAACCAATAAATGTCAAACTCCCAATAGGGATATTCGATATACATCGCTGCATCGAATTCACTCGATGTTTACAATACGATGCATCGAATTGATCCGATGTTTTGGAAAGTTAATGATGATATACTCGATGTATCGATGTATTTTCATAAAACACCGAATTATTGTTAACTAATTAATGGTATTTTTTTTTATAGAAGAGGGGACAAACGAGCATGCGGCTCACCTGATGGTAAGTGACTACCGCCGCCCATGAACAACTGCAACACCAGAGAATCGCAGATGCGTTGCCGGCCTTTTAAAAAGGAGTACGCTCTTTTCTTGAAGGTCCTTAAGTCGTATCGGTCCGGAAAAATCGCTGATGGTAATCGATTCCACAAGGAGGTCGTGCGAGGAAGAAAACATCTTCTAAATCGCACAGTGGTGGACCGCCAATCATCCAGATGGTGTGGATGGTATCGGGAGTTCTGCCGCGATGTGCGTTCGTGAAATTTGGCGGCTGGGATTAATCCGAACAATTCCTCAGAGCACTCCCCATGGTAGATGCGAAAGAAAATGCAAAGGGATGCAACATCTCTTCGCAGTGCCAATGAATCGAGCCGATCGGAAAGGGCTCGGTCGTCGACAATTCGAGCCGCTCTGCGTTGGATGCGGTCAAGTGGAAGGAGCTGGCACTGGGGAGCCCCTGCCCAGAGATGGGAACAGTATTCCATGTGAGGCCGAACTTGCGCCTTGTAAAGTAGCAGGCGGTGTGCCGGCATGAAATACTGTCCCGCTCTGCTGAGCACGCCAAGCTTTTTAGAGGCCAATTTGGCCTTCCATTCCAAGTGACCACGAAACTGCACATCACTCGATATGTCGACTCCGAGGATACCGATACTGGCTGAGGCAAGAAGGGGAGTGCCTTGAAACTGAGGAGATACGACAAAGGGGTTCTTTTTAGCGGTAAACGCGCAAACTTGTGTCTTCTGAGGATTAAATTGGACTAGATTTAGTCGCCCCCAATCCGAGACTTTGTTCAGCAAAGACTCGACTTCAGACACAAGTTTGTTCCGGTACTCAGCGACGTTTTCCCGAGAAATATTGGCACGGCCGGTGTATAGAGCATCACCAGTGCTGTCATCCGCATAGCAATGAATGTTACCAGTTAGCAACATATCATTGATATGCAGAAGAAACAGCGTTGGTGATAGCACACAGCCTTGTGGAACACCAGCGTTAATAGGCTTGTAGTCAGAGCATGCACCGTCTACAACGACCTTGATGCTCCGATCTGCAAGGAAGCTGGTGATCCAATTGCACAATTTCTCGGTAAGCCCATAGGAAAGGAGCTTCGAAAGAAGCGCTTTGTGCCAAACCCGATCGAAGGCCTTCGCAATGTCCAGACTAACGGCCAACGCCTCCCCCTTGGACTCTACTGCCTCCGCCCATCTATGGGTCAGGTAGACCAGAAGATCACCAGCTGATCGACCCCGACGAAAACCGTATTGGCGGTCACTAATCAGCTGGTGATCCTCAAGGTACCGGATGAGCTGGCAGTTAATAATGGATTCCATTATTTTGGAGAACAAGGAGGTGATCGCGATAGGCCTATAGTTGGATGGGTCTGAGCGGTCGCCTTTTTTAGGGATCGGGTGGACAGAAGCTGTCTTCCATGAATTCGGGACTACGTCTTGGGAGTAGGAGTACCGGAAAAGACGCGTTACGACCGGTGCCAACTCCGGAGCACACGTCCTCAGCACAATTGGTGGGATTCCGTCAGGCCCACTCGACTTCTGGATGTCCAGGGAGAGCAGTGCTTTGCGAACCGAGCGCTGTGAGAACAGCACATCCGGCATGGAGCACTCACACCGCGGGATGGTCGGCGGTGTTTTCCCCCCGTCATCAAGAGTCGAGTTGGACGCAAAAAGGGAGCCTAAAAGGTCGGCTTTGTCTTTTGCGTCATGGGCCAATGAGTCATCCTCCTTGTGCAGAGATGGTAGTGATGGCTTACAGAAATTCCCTTGGACAGCCTTGGCGAGAGACCAGAATGCACGGGTTCCCGAAGGAAGGCGAACTAGTTTCTCGCCAATTCTGCCTATGTGCTCTGACTTTGCCTTGGCAATAACTCTTTTGAAGGACCTGGAGGCGAAGTTATACTTCTTTTTAAGTGTGCTGGTATTTACATCCCGAGTCGCCGAAGCCGCAGCCCAGGCTTGATAACACTCCTGCTTACTGCGTAATGCAGTCTTACAGGAGCGACCAAACCAAGGCTGAGATCTGCCTCCGATGGGTACCACAGATGATGGAATAAATAGTTCCATTCCCTGTAGCACCACATCAGTGACAGAGTCAGCAACAGCGCTGGGAGCATCCGGCGAGAAGCGAACCCGCCCCCATGGGTAGGATGCAAAGAAGGACCGCATTCCGTCCCAATCCGCCGACCTGTAATGCCAAACACGGCGGCAACCTGCAGAACGCAACCGCGAAGGGAGCGTGAGTGGCACCACACTCCGGATCAGACAATGGTCCGAAGAGCCGAGAGGGGCATCGACGGAAACCTGATATCCGTCCGGATGAGAGGTCAGCAGAAGGTCCACCAGGGAAGGTGTATGATCCTCCACATCTGGAATCCGCGTAGGCGAAGTAACCAGTTGTGTCAGACCATATGCCAAGGCAAAGTCATAAACAGATCTCCCCGCATGATCGGTTAGACGTGAACCGAGCCATTCGGCATGGTGGGCGTTAAAATCGCCAAGGATCACGATCTCTGCGGATGGGACCTGTTGTAGTAAGAAATCTGTAGCCATTTGGACGTGGTCGATGAGTCGGTCTGTTTCGGCACTACCGCTATGGGACCTATAGAGGCACCCGTAGACGCACGGATGGTCGTCGCTGTCTACGCGTAGCCAAAGGATGGACAGGTCCGAACCTTCAATACTGCCGAGGCGTCGAGAACAGATGTCCTCTCTGACATACACGCAAACTCCAGCCCGAGGCACAAAGGAATGCTCCAATTTGTACCCCGGGTAGGAGAGATACGAAATATCAGCCGAAGAGGAAACGTGCGTCTCGGTCAGAAAGAGCAAGGCCGGCTTCGCCGTCTCGAGATGGTAGTGGACGGCGTTTAGGTTAGAGTGAAGTCCCCTGATGTTGCAGAAATTCACGGATAGCGTGGCAGGGGTCGCCTTGGTGTTCTTGCTCAGTTTGCCCCTAGCAGTAATGCTTTTGAGCGGAAGTTTGCCCCCCCCAGAATACGCGGGGCAGCCTGAGCACCCACGCTCAGTATCGGAATAACATGGTCGTGGATGCTCAGCGAGGGATTCTCCAGGGGTGCTGGTACCCTCCTGAGGTAGTTCTTCGTGTAATTCCGCTACCATGTTGATGGGGGGGGGGGGGGGAATTGGGCCTCCAGCCACCTGCACTCACCAGACGAAACGCAGAAGCAAAGCTTCTACTTCACGCCGGTATTCTGTGAGGTCGTGGTACCAACCCGGCTCGAGCCGGCCCATACATGCAACAGCAAAAACTGCTGCGTGGCTCTACCACCGTTAAAGGTATACAGTATACTTACCTATCACTCTTAAAATTATAACTTCTAAATCAGACACACTATTACATGTTCTGTTTTAGAAGTTATAACATTTAACCTGTTGGTGGCGCTAGTTGACAGCTGTCAGTTCCATAATGGAATGAAGAAATTGAGATTAACTGGATGGCAACACCACGCTAAAGAGAATTAAAAAAATATCTAGTCTGTCTCAGTCTAAGACCATTTAACCCAATAATAACTCGCCTCGGATTATTCTCCACTGCCTCTGGATTTAAAAATCATGTGCGTTTATAAATTTTGGAATCGGTTTTATCATTACAAGAATCGTTTCCGCTGAAGTAGGTGTTCTTTGAAAACTGCCGATCTTTGTGGTTAACGTGTGCATAAAGGAGTCAAATACTTAAAATTTAAAAAAGATTGAGATATATTCCATATTTTAGTATTTTTATTGTGATACATGCTTTTTTCATTAGGTAATCAAGGACATATATTTCATAAAAATCCTAGTGATAATCGCAATGTGACAACCGCACTACCCACGCGACTATTTTTTTTTCAACAATTTCAATCTTCGAACGCTATAAATTAGGTTTAAATTTGAACACGCAACACAAACGCAATCCTTACGAGATTATTTTATATTTTATAACAGTTCCAACAAACAGTGCATAAAGCTAAGGTCGAAATTCGAATAAACGAATAACATGACAGCTAAATAAGTGTAACGAGACTATTTATTAACTCTGCAGTTGTCGTACCTTATAAAAACAAATAAGTGGTCACGTGGATTTTTAGGTAGTCCATTCTAAAAAAGAAGAATGCCATATAATATCAAACTTTAACTAATAAATACTCTTATCTAAAATAAAACAAGTAAATTTAATCAATGGTTAATCATATTAAATAATCAAAAACATTTATACCTTCTTTTTTAATTCAAATAACAATAATGAAAATAATATATGAAAATGGCACATTAATTTCAAAGTGAGATCACAAATCAGTTTATATATTCAAATCAGTTTACATATTTATTTTTAATCTAACCATTTGTTTCTAAACAAGAGGCAAATTATATGCACTTCTGATAATCCGGACAAACGAATTTGCGTGTAAGTTTTGTTGCAAAATTGTAAATTTCAATTTTGTTGATTAGTTCTTAAGATACTCTGTATTTTGTGCAATAAAGAATATCTATATATCTAACATCCTCGAACACACACACACACACACACACACACACACACACACACACACACACACACACACACACACTCACAAAGACAGTGCTGATTTAAGAGTAGTAGATCATTCAAAATTGTCGTTTGAATGGGGTGTTAGGAGGTTGACTATAGATTTGTAA